GGAAATGCAACATTTTGCCAATAAATACAGAGTAAAGACTATTCTATAAACTTACCATCCAAACTCAAACCGAGAGAGTGTCCTGTAGATCTGGACCTGGAGCGGCTCCTGTAGGCTCTGACTGGAGATGGAGGAAACCTGCATCTGAACCGGTTCACAGACCCACGGTGCCTGCTCCAGTAGCTGGGAGACCTGGAGTGCCTGCGATAAGAATACCTGTCTGGGGAGGGTGAGCGGCTGTAGGAGCGAGAGCGGGCCCTGTAGCGGTGTGGTGGGGAGCGGGCGGCCATGACCAGATGTGCGACGGCTGTCACAGCGACAGCGGGGGGAACGCCTGTGGCAACGAGGGTAAGAACGGGACCTAGAGCGAGAGGAGGACCTGCTCCTAGATGAAGACGATGAAGAGGATGATGAAGACCTGTAGCGGCCCCTGTGACTGTCACGTCTTCTGTAGCGGCCAGAGCCAGAGGAGTGGCTGCTGCATTTGCTGCTTCTGGATCCTGAGCGGGAGCGACTGCAAGATGAGTCAAGACCGTTCTGGTCAAAGATTACACTGATACCGTCGTGCTGACGAGCATGGGCCATTTTAGAGCGTGTCTCTTCTCCCTTGCACCTTTTCTTTTCTGCCCCTGTTTGAAATATGAAAAAGATGCATTAATATTTAAACTTCTTTCAACAGTCAATCTTTCAACAGGCAGACGCATTTCCCCTTTATCGTCGCAGTAATGTGCGTTTTAGAAAAGCAGCAGACAATGGAAGCCGCAGTGAGCAGTAAACCTATGGCTGTGGTTGCATAACAGTCGTTTTCTCAGTGCTGCCCCCTTGCGAAAAAGGGACGTTGCGCAACTGCAATGGCCGAAAGTACTGGAAAATTCCAGAAAGACGTAAGCTAAACATAGATTGAGCTAATTACACTTATTACTAACTTATAAACGGCCCCAAATGGAATCGCTTACGATTCCATACGATTCCATATTACAACGAATGACATAAGTTATTATAATTGCATGAGAAATATATTTAGATTCACAAAAGTAGAAAACCAACTGCTGAGGCACATGTAAATCTATATCGGTAAAAACAAAACTATCCTAACATTAACAGACATTTCTTACCGGGTCAAATGTAGCTCGAAACCTTTCTAATATGTCGTCCAAATAACGTTGATAAAAACGAGATGAATCGAGAAACCAGTCTTCAAAACGTACCACGTTATGATAGTTTTCGCCAAGTACAAAAAAATATTGTAATTTCAATAATTTATAGCCAAATACTTTCGAGAGGGCGATCCTTGGTTCTTCCTCGAATTTTGTTACTCAACTGAGAAGGCGGAAATGGCGCAATGGGCTTTAAGCAGAGCCGTTCTTCTTCTTTTGTGTTTTTTTGGGGCGGGGCGGTGGCAGAGCCATCAAGATAGAAGAGTTGCGACATTTTGCGACAGTTGCCTCCAAAATACATCAAATACAAGCCAGACGCAACAGATATTTCTGCTTTTGTAAACAAAGTGAAGAACCTGTACCTCTGAATGAATGCTGTCCCAAAGAGCCCAGACACGAGGACACATTTGAATATCAAGTGTGATTTTATGGGTTTTGTTCAATCAATCATGACTTTACACATTCTAGATTAGGCCAGGTACGCACAGTCCTGAGGAAGACCAACCCCCGCAAAGCAGCAGGACCGGACAACATCCCTGGGAGGGCTCTCAGGGCATGTGCCAGCGAGCTGGCTGATGTTCTCACCACCATCTTCAATCTCTCCCTCAGCCAGAGCATCGTTCCCACCTGCTTTAAGACCACAACCATCGTCCCCCTTCCCAAGAAGAGCCCGGTCACCTGCCTGAATGATGGCCCACATTCATAGCAGTATACTGGACCCCCTGCAGTATGCCTACCAGCCCAACAGGGCCACCTCAGACACCATCGCGGCTGCCCTCCACTATTCCCTTTCTCACCACATAAACCACTGGACCAACCTTCTGACAGAATACATCACATTAGAGAAAATGACATACACTCACAAGAATAGTTTATCAGCTTTTTATGACACATGGAACCCATTTCTAACACATTTCAACTTGAATCAAATACCTGGAGCTGAGGCCATGCACATTCCCACCAACCTCTAAAATGTAACAAGCTGATTTTATTAGTACTGTTATCATCATTATTATTGGTCATTTATTTATCTTTAATTTTCCCTCCTTTTCCCTTTCTTGTGTTTCATAGACACATAAATTGCATACATTGGAAATACCTACACTTCACACACTACAACCTTGTTTAACACTCTATATCCTTTTGTAATGTCATGTCACTGTTGTCTTGTCTCCCATGTTCGGTACTGTTTTGTCAATGTGTTACTTTGTTTCAATAAAAAAATAATAATAATAATAACTTGCACGAACATTTACAAAATATCCTGGGGAAAAACCTGCTGTGGGGGCTGTCAAGTAGACATTGCTTTATGTCACAAGCCAAAAGTCACTAGTTTAAAGCACTCTCCTTGCCTCTCTATCATAAAGCCTATATCCAGGTGTGTCGAGGTTTGATGATTGCCGCTGTGTGTCTGGGTTTCTTTGGTGCCATCCTCGTTTTGGTAGGAATGAAGTGTACAAAAATAGGAGGGTCAAAGATCACCAAAGCTTGTCTGACCATCCTCTCCGGCATCCACTTCATTCTCAGTGGCCTCTGCTGCATGACTGCATGCTCCATATATGCTCACAAGATCACAACGGACTTCTTTGACCCCATTTTTGTTGCTCAGAAATTTGAACTAGGAGCTGCTCTCTTCATTGGCTGGGCAGGATCTGTGTTGTGCATCCCAGGAGGACTTATCTTCTGTCTTTCCCTGCCTGAAGGCTTTAATATCAAAGCTAAATACTCCTACAGCAGGGCTGCATAATTTGTGATGACACGGAACAAGCACAGCAACACAGCCAACAGCCTCCACAAGGAACCAGGGGAGCCATCCAGGTAGTTTGGAAGAAATGCCTATGTGTGAAAATAAACAATATTGTTGTTACATTCCCCTATTGTGGGATTTGTCTTAATAGTTTGTGGTCAATGGCAACAATATCAAAAGTAAAAGCCAAACACAACATTCACATTTATGAATTTTGTGCCATGATTCTATGAAATTGTTTGGAAAGCATAATTCACATCACCGGCCACTGTATTGTTTTTAAGTGGCTAAATTCATGTTAAAATAAGACTGGCTTTTAGACATTTCTCTTACTGGGCCACGTGTAAGAAAAAAGCTTGCATTTCTTTTAGGGCAGGAAATTTGATTTGGCACAAAACACCATTCAAACTCACAGGTCACCTTCACCAAGCTGGACTTTCCTGTCTGTCTCACATAAACTGGACACACATTAAATCTCTGTTTCTTGTTGAATCAATGGACCCCCTGCAATACATTTTAAAGCATTTTTCTTTAGCTTTTTTTAAATTAAAACTAGAGAGTGTCAGAGAGCAAGTAAAAAAATACAGTTAATGACAGGTGAAGGATATACAAAACCAAACAGTTTAATGTATAGGCCAGCATACACAGGTCTTTTTATTTGAACACTGCCCCTTGATGATCAATTCTGCTGCAGCCATCATCAGTATCACTCTTATTTCAGGATGTCGTGACCAGGTTTTGTCATAATACTTTAATCTTATCAATAGTTCATGGCTACAGTTACACTTAACCTATAAGCAGCCTGCATGAAAATGTATCAAGAAGTCCAACTACAGTATGTTCGATACCAGAATGGCTCTGCTTTAACCCAAAGCCGCAGCTTTTCTTTGTTTCCTTTCATGTTCTTTGCTCTGTGACCACTAGGTGGTAGCATTGACCGTTTTTGCACTTTGCAGGTTTTCTTTCCAGCTACTGTTGGTAATGTTTTAATGAGATACACTTAATGGCCTGGTAACAGTTGATCTGTGTTAGGATCACTCACTCACGGGAGGGTGAGTGAAGAAGCAGACCCAGATAGCTGACTTCAGTGCAAACAGATTTATTCGTGCTGTACAATATATATAGGTGACGTGGTATGGTAGATGACAAGATAAAGGAAACAGTAGGACCGGGTGCTGATCAGCTAGCAAAATACAGTCAATGAAGGGAATGAATGAGATGGGCTTAGCTGCTGACGCTAGGGTCACTCCCGGTCTGCCCGGTGGGGTGGTAGATGGGATCTGATTACGGTGTACCGACCTGGCGGTAACATTAACATGGCAAGGATTTGGAGAATGGCGCTGGTTGTCGGCCTGAAAGCAACAACGAACTGACAAGAGGAGTGGAAACTGAGTTGGGTATAAATAAGGTGAAGGACTGAGTGAATGCAGCTGGTGTTAATTAAGGAAACAAGTGGCAGGTGTGCAAGGTCGCATGATCAGGAACCGAGAAACAAAGAGAGGGAGGTGAGAGAGGCAGGTGCCGCCGAGCAAACCTGACAATCTGCAGCCATGTGTATGCAGATTTTTTTCTCCAGCTGAACATTACAGCACTCAACGGCACTGACAATGACTGAACATTACATTCTCTGAACAATGGATTTATTATGCTGTAAACATCTGTCATTCTAGCAGGTTTGAAAAAAATACTTCCACAAGTATAGCATGTCATACACAAAAGCACTAGAGAGAAGGAAAAAGAATGAAAGCAAGCTGCCATTATTTGCCTTTAAGAGAACATTTTCACCTGAATGTGGAGCTTTAGATGAGTCAGTAACATCAGATAATACTGAAACCTTATCTCTAAGGTCTCAATTTTGAATTTATTGATTTATCATTTATCAGATGATGCCGTTTTGCTGTTCGACTATTTATATGGTCAATAAACTTGTCACAGTGACACATTATAGATACCAGTTTTCATCAAACTCGATTTGACAGTTCTAGATGAAAGGTTATCCAATCAGAATCATTGTCCCGCCCCCAAGCCCCCACCCTCCCTAGGTGAAACTGACTGTGGTCCACCAGAGCTCACAGCCACTGGTTGTGTTGCCCA